GTTGATCTACTCACTTAAACTATTTTCCATTACCTTTAAAGGTAGTCCAATACCTATGCTTACTTGGATTCCTTAATGAGAAAATAACCTCAGTGACAAAAAATGGCCTTATAATATACGATTTTAACCAACTTTTTTTGGATTTGCCAAAATGACCAACTAAATCGCAATGCGATCGATAATTCGCAACGCGATCTCCGATATCGCAAATCAGTTTCCAGATTCGCAACGCATTCTGACTATCGCATTGCGATTTTTCCAAATTCGCGTTGTGATTTTCTGACTATCGCAATGCGAATATGTAAATCGCAACGCGATTATGACTATCGCAACGCGATTCTGACTATCGCAACACGATTCTGACTATCGCAACGCGATTCTGACTATCGCAACACTGAATTTCAAATTCGCAATAGGTTTTAGTTTCGCAACACAAATGTTTTGGGTATATAACTACGCAGTAGAAGCAACTCATAACCTAAATCCCTAAATCGCAACTCATTCCATCTCCATCTATCACTCTCTCTGGCGACATCTGTTCCTATATCCAACGAGATCCTTCCCCATCCGGTAACATGTTTTAGTTTCGCAGCTCGTTTGTTTAGTAAATTAATTTACAATAATGAAATCATCTAATGTTGATCATGTTTGGATAGATTTGTGTTTTGGAGGGTCATGGGAGAATGTTCATGGTGTTTTACAATATATGCCTTTACCCATGAATCTTCAACTAAAACTGTCATTAAAAAAGTTAACTTATGAAACTCTAATGTTACGTGTTGCAAATAAATTGAATTTAGAGCCCTTAAGTGGATTTAGGCTATCTTATCAGAGAAAAGGTAAAGTTTATTTGTTAACCGACAATGAAGATGTTGAACGATTCATTTCTTACATTAGTGTTTCGCAAGATGATGTTACATTGTATGTTGTTGAACCTAGAAGTAGTGAAGTTGGGTCAGTAGCAGGTAGTAATCAACTAAGTTTTTCAACCCCAGTTTATGGTGCTCAAAATTTAATGGTTCCACCACAATTTCATCACCAAGCAAATTTTGTTTCACCACATTTCCAATACCAAACACAATCTCAAAACCCACAACATTTCCCTAATCCAATCACAATCAACTTTCAGCACCAAATTCCGATTTTCGTATTAACCAGTTAAACGATGATGAGCCAACAGAAAAAATTGTGAGTATTAGTCAGTATTCGAAATTTGATCTTGGTCAATACCCGGACTTTGATCTTGGTCAATACTCAGATTTTGATGATGTTTCAGAAGAAGAAACAGACCCTGCGTGTAATGATTTTGATATTGGTCAATACCCAAATTTTGATGATGAAACAGCCGTTGCCGAGGAAGATGTTGTTGATGATAATGAGGAGGAAGTTACGACTGTAAATGAACATGTTGAACATCCATTCTGTAATTCATATAACCCTGAAGAAGAAAAAGAAGAAGAAATCCCTGAAGAAAAGTCCCCGAAGAAATGCCACGGGAGTATAACTGAAAATATGCCAGAATTACTTCAGATACCGGAAAAAGAGTTGGTAAAAATAGCAGTTGATTGTTACACAAAAATTATTCGTATCAAGAAAGATGATTGTTTTGATACAAAGGAAGACTTGAAGATAGCTTTGTATACGAAATGTGTGGAAGATGGCTATAAACTAAAAGTTAACAAATCAAGCAAAGATCGTTTCGAAATAAGGTGTATGATTGACAAAAACTGTATGTGGCGTATGATTGCAAAGAAGATAAAAGATTGCGAAATGTTTCAAGTTATGACTTTTATTGATAAACATACATGTTCAAGAACCCAAGTTTTTCCTCACCATAGACAGGCAAACAAAAAGGTGTTGGGTGGTTTTCTGGTTGAGTTAATGTTTTTGAATGGTAGGGTATATCGGGGACATAAAATTATGACTGACATAAATGCTTGGTTCAAGATTAGTATCTCATATTCTCAAGCTTGGAGAGCCAAATGTTATGCCTTGGAATTGTTGAGGGGGTCGCCAGAAGCATCGTTTGCCCAACTACCGGCTTATTGTTACAATTTAAAGCTGAACAATCCTGGGTCAGTAACTCATATCAAAACAGATAGAGATGGACGCTTTGAGTTGCTGTTTATCGCCATTGGTGTTGCGGTTAGTAAATCAATATAATTTTGTTGACTCATTTTTGTTAGTTACATGCATTTCACATTTAAATGATTATATTTCTTGTGTATATGATTTTGTAGATTCGTTCATTTATTACTTTCATACGCCCAGTTATTATAGTTGACGGAGCACATTTAAAAGGTCGATACCTTGGAGTAAACTTATTAGCAGTAGCCATGGATGCTAACAATGGGATACTGCCAATAGCTTACAGGGTTGGCAAATCTGAAACCTTTGATTCATGGACATAGTTTATGGGGCATCTTAGGGATTGCATAGGTCCTATTAGCAATTTGACAATCATATCCGATAGGGCAAACTCAATTGACAACGCTGTTAGAAGGTGTTTCCCAGATGCTTTTCATGGACATTGTGGTGTTCATTTATATAGAAATCTAAAATCAAGGTCTGCTGGTATAAAAAATCACAAATGGACATACTGAAATGCTGTAAAAGCTTATCGGGAAGTGGATTTTAATAAGCATATAAATTGTTTAAGACGTGTTTTGCCTCAGTGTGCTCAAACACTAGAAGATGTCGGGTTTGAAAGATGGTCAAGAGTACATCAACTTGGAGCAAGATATGGTTTCATGACGTCTAATAGTGCAGAATCAATCAATGCTCTAAGTCGTCATTCCCAGAAATTACCCATTACTATGTTAATGGAGTTTTTTCGAGCCTCTATTCAACAGTGGTACTACAATAAAAGAAACCATGCATGTATTATTTCTTTAAATTCGTAACTTATCATATATTTTACTAAGTATTATTTATTTAAATTTACAGGAACATTGGAAAATCGTGTTACACCATGGACTGAAAAAAAGATAACAAAACGTGTTGTGAAGTCAACGTCATGGAGAGTTGAACCATGTTCAAACACTTTGTTTGAAGTACTGGATAATAACTTAAATGGGCTTGTCGATCTAAATGCAAAGACGTGTAGTTGTATGAAATGGAAAACATCTGGTTATCCGTGTGGGCATGTTATAAAAGTTGCTCTTCATTTAAACCAAGATGATTCAAGCGCATACGCTATGGATTGCTACACTACAGAAGTATATCGACAGACTTATGCCGAGATTATCTACCCTATTCCACATCCTTCTGAGTGGGATATACCAGATGACTTACAAATAGTTTTGCCACCAGCAATAGACAGAAGGCTACCTGGCCGACCAAAAATTCACGATCGTATACCGTCTAAGGGTGAAGAGAAGAAGAGATCGACATGTAGTCGGTGCAAGGAAAGTGGTCATACAAGGTTGACATATGGATCACCAGTGTTATCACAATCATCTTTTCCTCTACCAAAATATGGATCCTCCTCAAAATCCAAAGCTCATATGGTGTAAAGAAAAAGGCAATCAAAATCGCAATCAAAATCAAAATCCAAATCACAACCGGCTTCACCTTTTGGGACTATTAACTTAGGTGATTTTTAAATGCAAACATTGTATTATGTGTAAACTTTTAACATTTTCAGTTAGGCATGTATTAGTAACTTGAGTTTGAACATTGCTATGATCTATTCAGTTGTTATCACTTATTACACATTCATTTGAATATCGCAACGCGAATTTGACTATTATGTGTATTTTATGTGTAAACTTTTAACATTTTTAGTTAGGCATGTATTAGTAACTTGAGTTTGAACATTGCTATGATATGTTCAGTTGTTATCACTTATTACACATTCATTTGAATATCGCAACGCGAATTTGACTATCGCAACGCGAATTTGATTATCGCAACTCAAAAATCGCAACGTGAATTTGATTATCGCAACGGGTATTTGACTATCGCAACGAGAAAATCGCAACGCGAATTTGACTATCGCAACACGAATTTGACTATCGCAACGCGAATTTGATTATCGCAACGGGTATTTGACTATCGCAACGAGAAAATCGCAAAGCGTATTAGACTATCGCAACGCGAATTGACTTCGCGTTGCGATTTTGGCTTTCGCATTGCGATTTTGAGTTTAGCGTTGCGAAAGTGTACCTCCAACAGGTCTTTTGCCTTCAATATGATGCATATTGAAATCAACAAATCAACTTTTACATTTCAATCAATTAAACAAGCACAAATAAGAATTATTTACACATCAATATTAAACAAATCAACTTTTACAAATCAATTTTTATAAATCAATTAAACAAGCAAAAAATGATAATAATTCTTATTTTCCTCATCAATTAAACAAATCAGACTTTTAAGAATCAATTAAATAATAAAAAAAAAGTGTACCCTAGACAGTTGTTTATGCACCCATACATCAATTTAACGCAGTTCACTCCAGGATTAACCTGCAGAAACCAAACATTTGCTCAAATAACACTTTCTACACATCTAAAACCAACAAATAACAAATTATTATTGAATTCTAGGTACTTAACAACACTTGCATTTGACTTACAAATTGTTTATGGACACTTCCATAACGCGGATGTAGGTAGGCAGCGTCTCACATATATCGCTTTAGCCATAAAATACCGAAACCCCATGCCTACTGCACCTCTATCTCTATCGGTGGGAGGTAGAAACTGTGTACTTCCTGTCCTCAAACGCTCCAAGAACATGCATACGAGAGGACCACAATCCCCTCTGACTTCCGACGTTTGTTGTGGTGCGGTCTCGTCTCTGATAACTGTAACATTGAACTTCTTTGGCTTCTTATTTCCAGAATAAGTCCAATAATTAATCGCATCCAAGAATTTAGCCAAATGAGAGCTCCATCCCTTAATAATATCTCTCAAATCAGACAATGATATGTAATTTATCATGTTGTCATATACTATTGTCTTTAGGGATGGGAGCTGAAGCTTGATGAGAAGCCAATGAGTACGTTCCAAAACAGGGATAAACACCTACATCGAAATGTAATAATTCAAATTGCGCACTTATTTATGAACACCTTTAAAATATATAAACAAATAAATACTAACCTTATCGACCTCCCACCATACAGGATAAAGTTTAGCTTGTCCATTAGCCAACACATATGATTCATGTCATTGATTCTTCAAGTGAACTACGTGAAAAGACGTCGGCATAATTGTATATCGCATATTTTTTTTATTTTTCTTCAATTTCCTTACTATTAGAAGACGTGACACCCATGCATCAATATGTTGTTTTACAAAAAAAAACATATATTAGTGAATTACATAAATTTAAAAAAATTAATCAAAATGAAATATAAGAAGAAATATAAGACTTACCCCCCATCGAAATAGCCACTGTCTTCAACCCCTAATAACACACCCCACCAAGATTGTTCAATCAACAAATGTATATCATCGTTAGGTTTGTATATGTCAGCGTAAAACCCTTGGCTCCGCTCATGTAGATAAAAATCAACTGCGGTCTTAGCCCAAAGGGTATTATCCAGAATTGTTTTCGGTAGTTGTTTCCTCTCCACTTCATCTGTCGGAATGGTACTGGCCGGTAACTTATACGAAAGTCAATAGTTATCCATCATGTCCGGCACATGAGGGGGTTTCTCAATAATTCGATATATTACGCCATGTGAATCGGGCTCTATAATATTGGGAGTGACCTCTTCAACGATGACAGTGGCCTCTTGAACGGTGGGAGGGGACTCTTGAGGGATGATAGGGGCCTCTTGAATGATAGGGGAGGCCTCTTGAACGATGACAGGTGAGTCGGGCTTTTTCTTACGGATTCTTCGCACTATTGGGGTGAACGGAGACGTAATGGCACGTGCACGCCGTCTGAATAGTGAACTCCGTCTTGCAAGAAAAACTCGACGTAGAGCATCCACCTTAGCGGGCCGCTAAAAATAAATTAATACATAAATCAGTAAATAAACAGACATGATATTAAACAGTGAAAACAAAGACAATATATTTCAAACTTGCACGGTATTCACCCAAGTCATTATTCTATCATTGTTCACAAAATGCATCAGATAACATTCCAGAAGTAATCACTTATATAAACATTTAAAAGGACAACATATAGGTTTAGTGCAGGTTCAATGACAACATAAAGAGTAGTAGTTTATTCTTGAAACTTAAATTTTCAACATTGTGAAGTTAGTATTTGTCTTTGTCTTTTGGTTGAAGTAATGCAATTCATTCAAGTTTCAATTTGCAGAAGAAGAATAGAATCTGAAACTTAAAATTGCAACGCGAAAATGACTATCGTAACGTGAATTTGACTATCGCAACGAGAGGATCGCAATGCGATTTTCATTTCGCATTGTGATTCTTTCGTTGTGATAGTCAAATTCGCGTTGCGATATTCATTTTCACGTTGTGATAGTCATTTTCGCGTTGCGAACGCGAATTTGACTATCGCAACGAGAGAATCACAATGCGATTTTCATTTCGCATTGCGATTCTTTTGTTGCGATAGTCAAATTCCCGTTGCGATAGTCATTTTTGCGTTGCGATAGTCTTTTCGCGTTGCGAAAGTAAACTATTCTTCTTCTGCAAATTGAAACTTGAATGGATTGTATTACTTCAACCAAAAGACAACCAAAAACAAATACTAACTTCACAGGGTTAAAGAATAAATAGTTTAGCAGTATTGGCAGCAACCAAATGAATTTTCTAAGCAATCTAAGTGAAATGGTTAATCTAAGTGAAATGGTTAATCTAAGTGAAATTACGAGTAAATTTATCATCAAGTTAAATATGAAAAATATTAAACTTACCTCGTTGCGTAGAGTATGAACCTCATTCTGCAACGATGTTACCATCTCACGTAGAGCGGCTACCTCACCACGTAAAGTAGACATCTCAACATGCCATGCACCATTGTCATCGCGTAAAGTACCGACCTCCTCATGCAATGCATTGACTTCATCACGTAACTCCCCTAACTCATCCCGTGGAGGTGGAGGTGGAGAACAGGGAGATAAAGGTTGTGGCATCTTTGCCGATCGCCTATCATGAGGTGATGGTGGAGAAGAGGCTCGATGATGTGACAGAATAGGTGATGGCTCTCGTTGTGGAGGTGTATAGTCGGGTCGATCAGGTGATGGCTCTGGGTGAGGTGATGTCTCTCGAAGTGGAGGCTGCTCATCATCCGTGCCATCAAAAAAATGCTTACTAGCTTACCACTAATCAGTGGCAAGCTTAGCTTCCATGGGTGTCAGTCTTTGTAATGGAGTGTTGGCCTCCTAACAATATAAAAGCTCAAACAAAGTTAAACATGTACTAGTAATAACTTGTTTATAAACATATGGTAGTATTTGTGTTAACTTACATTATTTATTGTCGTATACGGTAGTAAATCTTCCCATTGCTGCAAGGTTCATTTCCTCTTCCAGGAAATAGCCGTAGGAATATCATTAGAAGTTTTTAATGCATATGTCTGCATGGCGAGAAAGACCTCAAATATCCAAATCTACAAACAATATAATAACAAACATTAGTAATTGTTAAATAATTAATTATAATTTTGGAAACATTATATAAAAATTCTTACCTTAAAGGCCCAAATAAAGCCTGACAAAGTGCATTTGGAACCATCGCCACACAAACTTTTTCGATCATCAAAGGCAGACGACAACTTATTCCATGTAGCTTTCCATAGATACGAACCCCACGGAAACAGGTTCTATGCATTTAGGCCCTCTACCAATTTAATTAGATCATTAGGAATAGGTTGTCTGGCATCTCTGCCTAAAAAGCCGGCATGTAAAAGTATTAGAAGGCATACTCGGACAACATCGACGTCATCCATCCGAGTAAAACCATTTTTCTTATTCAATAATCTCGTCAAGTCTTCCACGTGTAAATTTGGCTTCTCCATTGACAGCTCAGGAAAAACCCGGGATAACCGTGATAGGCGGGTAATATGTCTAGTGTACCGACCTACATCATCGTGTCCGAAGCGTAGACCGGTGATTAAGCAAAACTCCTCCCGCCCAAAACACGTATACGCCGGTAGAAAATCAAACCATATCTCTTCATCACAACGTTGTATAGTCTCTGGTAGATCGCTAGTCATGGTTTGAAGAAACAGATGGGTCAACATAGCATCTCCACCCGGATGTTGTACTTTCAGCCATGGCCCGAAGCAAGTATCCTCAAATATTTTTCTTTGTGCAGGTGAAAGCTTCGACGCAATTGTTTTGGCCAGGCTTACTTTATTTCTTAAGGTAAATTGAGCCGAATAAAAGTGCTATAAAAACAATAAACATACCAAGTTAGATATACCAAAAACTACACTGCGAAGATATACCAAGAACAATAAACATAAAGAGTAGTAGTTTATTCTTCAAACTTAAATTTGCAACACTGTGAATTTAGTATTTGTCTTTGTTTTTTTGTTGAAGTAATTCAATTCATTCAAGTTTCAATTTTCAAAAGAAGAATAGTTTCTGAAACTTAAAATTGCAACACGAAAATGACTATCGCAACACAAATTTGACTATCACAACGCGAAATGAAAATCGCAACGCAAAATTAAAATCGCATTACGATTCTGTCGTTGCAATTTTCATTTCGCGTTGCGATTCTCGGTTTCAAATACTAAAATTGAAACTTGAATGGATTGCATTACTTCAACCAAAAGACAAAACAAAGACAAATACTAAATTCACAGGGTTTAAAGACTAAACAGTTTAGCAGTATTGGCAGCAATCGAATGAATTTAATAAGCAATCTAAATGAAATGTTTAATCTATTATTGAAATTACCAGTAAACTTATCATCAATTTCAATATGAAAAACCTAATAATAATGCAAAAAATTCAAAATAAAAATAATTAAAAAAACTAACCCTCGGTGGTTGATTTGGTTGATTTTCCATTTCTGACCATGAATGATTGTGAGGGTGGCTCTGAGAGATGGAGATAGACGAATTTCGCCAGAGATGGGGACTGATTTCGTCGGAGATGGGGATGGATGTCGCCTTAACTAGTGAGAGATGTAGATGAGACTGAGTTGTGATTTAGGGTTTTAGGTTATGAGTTGCGATTACGAGATATACTGTGGACGATTCAGTGTTCCGATATATTAATATTCGTGTTTGGAATTTGAAAAAAAAACGCGTTGCGATAATAATGGCGCTTTGAAAATCGCATTGCGATAGTCAGCATCGCGTTGCGATTGTCAGAATCGCGTTGCGATAGTCAAAATCTCGTTGCGATAGTCAGAATCGCGTTGCGATAGTCAGAAAATCGCAACGCGAATTTGGAAAATCGTAATGCGATAGTCAGAATCGCGTTGCGAATCTAGAAACTGATTTGCGATGCCGGAGATTGCGTTGCGAATTATCGATCGTATTGCGATTTAGTTGGTCATTTTGGCAAATCCAAAAAAGTTGGTTAAAATCGTATATTATAAGGCATTTTTGGTCACTGAGGTTATTTTCTCTTCCTTAATTAATCCAAGACATTTACTTAATATAGGCCATAAGGGTATTTTGGTCATTTTGGTTTTCAGTTTTATTCCAATCATAACAGAGCTCAAGGATATCCCATCATTCCTGAGCTTGGTGATATTCTTGGGTCATTTTCATTACAGGGGTAATTTGGTCATTTACAAATCCACAGTATTTCAATCTTTTTCCTCCATCCGGTCTTATTATTTAATTCCAATTTATCATCTATTCCAGTCCGTTCGAACAATTCTGATAAAAGTGCACCCTCCGATAAATTGTTCTTCAGGTATTTACTCATAACTCGGATATTTTCGGGTCAAGTGCCTTCTCGGATTTTACAAATGCAATATTATGAATTTTTCTTTACAAAGACAGAATATTAATAATTAAATTTGTACTTAATCGAGTTAAGTACAAATCCTCAAAGTGTTTTCTCCTTCAGGGTCAACTCTGACTATTTTACCTCTCAAGGGTATTTTCGTAATT